GCTTGAGCTCAGAGGCCTGCTGTTTCTCAGCGTCCTCACTGCTCCCGAACCCTGTGACGAGACGACCGACAAATCAGCATTACTCCATTAATCTCCTTTAAAACAATCAAATTAAACCCTGAGCTCACACAGCAGCTCACCTGAAAAGAGTCGCACTCATCTCCATTACTGTTCAGATAACCGAGGGACGCAGCTCTCTTCATGCTGTGTGGGATGAAAAACAACTCATTTACATGAAAGAACAACACTGTAGCAGGCCGTAAAGCTGCTAAAGCTGGGTTCAACGTTCATGAATCGCTGTGTTTGTGTGTCTCACTTTGTGCTGCGAGGCTCTGGTGGCATGGTTCCTTGGATTTTCTTCACCAGCATCTCGCTGCTTCTGCGCAGGACTTCCCTGAGTTTCCCGAAAGAGCCGCTTCTCCTGAGAGAACCGTCCTGAACGCAAACACAGTCCCGAGTTAAAACTGTTGTTGTGTGTTTTTCAACTCGTGCTCAAGCTGTGTTGGGCTGGTTAGGATTCTCAAACAAACTTTACGGTGTTTACTTTTCAGGGTCAACCAATTATAGTTGTCTCTGCAAATTATGAGAGTATCTGATCATTTAAAAACGAGCATATATTTGGTGCCTTGCAGTGAGTTGGCACTGGAGATTTCAGTTTTAGAGCAAATGAGACCAAAGCAATTCTACAGCTTATAGATTAAGAAATACATGAGCGATTCCATTGGCTGAGAGGCCTTTTATGGGTATTCAATCCCGTGCCTGATTAGAAAACCTACACATTTGATTTATACGTCATCTTAACTTGGTAAATACAACCATTAATGTCTTTTAAATGATATATAATGGCAAATTAACAAAAGCGTCTTATTCTTTAACTGCTCAGCATACTGCTAGCCTGCGAGATGATTACTAAATCTCGTATTACTTTGGATCGTTTGTTATAAACGTACACATAATGAAATGCGAAACAATAAATGCTGTATAGAGTGCTGAAGGAACGAGTTAACACGACTTAGCATTTTATCCTGAAGTCAATGGGTTTTTAAAATGGGTTTTTTTTTGGTTAAATGCCTGAAACACGGTCTGTGGTGAACACAAGCTCAAGATATTTTTTATGTTTTATTTTTATATACAGTAATACCCACTCTTAATTTTTTAAAAAGCTTTTATGTGTCTTGAAACTGGCACTCGCTAACAGGTGACATTAAGCGTCATCACGCCAGACAGGTAAACTCACTATTCACTTTACTCACACTCTCGCGCACTGTTTCAACTCCAACTTTTCAAAATGTAGATTTTTAAATAAAGAAATTGAAAGATTT